TATTAATGCCAATAGCTTAGAGGCAACCGAAATGACACTTATTCTCCCTTGATGGATGCATGAAACGCGAGTACCGGTCCGAATTTGCCGATGCTTACGACGAATGGAAGTGCAGACTGCTTTGCAGAACCAAGGAGCACGAGAACTTTCTCAATTTTATTTTGCCAAAATGCCTTAAAGATTTTACCTTCTACCAACTTGTACATCTGTTAAATGACTTTTTGGTTAACGGTCTTCCTTATTCAGCATCCGACACAGCTGCATGAAGCTCATTAACTACGTATCAGACGATTTCGTAACTTACGCGAGTGCCACCAAACGTCATTGCAAGCGTTCCAAGCTAAAACGAATGACGGACGATCAGTTCAAGGCTCTCATTTTCATTTGTGTTCTTCAAGCTCCCAGGGATGCTGAAATACGCTTGAGACTACTTAGCAAACTTGAGCAGAACCTAACCAGCAACCTTATGCCCATCACCTCCGAATACCGGAGTTTAACCAACTTGTGTCACGACTTGAACGTAATTGTCCAAGGTCGCAGTCCGTGTCCCGTAGATGTGCTAGCACTGTCAAACCAGCGCGGAAGTTCAGCGACGATCCAATACTCAGGGAAGTCAAACAGCACCATCCGCATGCCGGCAATGTGGTAAATGGCACCGTCAAATTCTGCCCGTTGAAGAATCATCTTTTTCAGGAATGCAACAGACGGAGTCCCAAGGAGGATCATTGCCGTGCAGCTGCTTGCAGCAATAACGTCTCCAGAGAATATTCCAAAAGCCTGTACCCACATTGCTACTGAAACAAGTATGTCAGTTTTATATTGTTTTTGCTACCTTCGATGCAGGGGCCGCAAAGCGCAGTAGCTTCGTGACGATGATTGTGAACAAAGTGCCCGTATATCTTCAAGTCACATCCGGGAAAACTTGGAGGGTTATCGATGAACCCACTGTTCAAAGAACAACTCGCATTGCAACCAGTGCTTCAGCAGGACCACTGAACTTGGCCGGTGAAATGTATTACCCTGTAATGTCTAAAGACTGCCAGTTCGAATGGGTTTGCTACGTGACAAGGCACCAGGACCTGAACCTACTCGGTCTCTACTCCATTGACATAATGAAATGCTGGAGATTCCTTCGAATTCCGTGTGCAACAACTTAAGTGTTGCACCTGTGAATTGGACGAGGACCGTGCAGGTGTAATATCCGCATGTGTTTCAGGATTGTCTGCGACTTTGCACGGAAACCAAGGCCAGTTTATCTCTACTACCAGATACGAAGTCAGTCTTCCGACCGAAGCAACCGGTTCCATATACAGTGGTTTCAATCATCGATCAAGAACTTGACAGCCTGCAGTCAGCCTGAGTTATCAAACCGACGATTTACTCTTCATGGGCAGCCCCATTATGATTGTCAAGACAGCAAACCGAAAGATCCGCTTATGTGCAGATTACTCTACAGGCCTAAATGCTGCTTTAGAAGACCACAAGTACCCAGTACCCCTTCCTACACGTCTGAACGGTGGTGAGTGTTTTGCCAAACTGGACTTGTCTGACGCATATCTGTAGACTGAAATGTTGGCAGAATCGCATGAGTTGCCAACGATTAACACTCACAGACTCGTCTACCATTTGGCGTTAAGTCGGCCTCGTCAGTCATTGTGCGGATCATGGATACGGTGCTACAGAGAATACCATGTGCTTCTGTGTACCTGGACAATGTCATGTTGGGATCTAACAAGAAGGAGCTGTACCAATGGACAGAACACGTGCTTAACAGGATAAAGGACTATGTATTCCGCCTAAAATTGGGCATGTTACTTTTCATGACCTCAATTAAAATCTCTGATTTATACTTGACCAAAATGAAGGATGACCCTATCCATCAAATATCAAGGCGATCAAGGATATTCTTCCCCTAAAAGACCAGTTTCAACTTGTTGGACATCATCAGTAGTGCGCATCCATCGGATCCATCAGGATTCGAATCCATGACCACCAGTGGCTTGCAACGCCAGTCATCAGCTTATGCCACTGGGCCACGGGGAACAGCGTCGGACCGTCACGAATCACAAACTACCTACGATATATTGCGTCTTATCCTCTACCGCCATGCAAGTTACGAACGTTGCAGAGGACATGGTTGGTCCTGATAGACACGACCTCCACTGACAATAGCTAGTGTTCGGTTCGATGCTGTCTCATGTGTCCCAGTGCCAAAAGCTGCTGGTTGGCGGTGCAAGCCTGGGGTGATCATTGATTACAATCCTGATGCATACACAATACTGACCATGCCAAAACGGTTGAAACTGCATTCTAGTGCTTTTTCTGGGCATGTGTAGAACAATCAAACATGGAAGTTGCGATGACAAACTCAATTAATGACACCAAGAATCCCCTACTCATGCATTTATGTTTGGTTGACAGCATCCGGTTCCGGATTTCCCCGTCACTGCGGCTTCCATAGGACAGCCACAGAACACCTGCTCCTACAGAGGGACCATGGGTGCCTTGTACTGCATCACCCACAGCTCCATCTACACACCCCATATCTAGCGTAAATCCGAATTAATAAGGTCGGGAGGCATGTGGATAGGAGCCATGTTTAATCAACGGAGCCGGCTCATAATTCTTCAGCATGCAGAGCAGCAGCATTCCTGTCTATCTATGTAGGGAGTCATGTGTACCAGGCATACACAAGGCGGTGACTGGACCGTAGTCCGCTCAACACTGGATAGAACCACTCCTTGAGGCTAGTACAGTCACGGGGACTGTGCATTCTGTCCCTCCCCTTATGAGATAGTCCGATCGCAATCCTGGTCTAAGAGGGAACATATTTGCGCCCGTCCTTTAGAAATCAGTACGGCAGCTGAAAATAACCCCCATATTTTTGTTGATTCTAGCATAATTTTGTGGGAAATTTAGCCTTTTCCCTGCACCTTTCTTAAGAAAGCTCGTACCATTGACGACGGTGACCCAAATGAAAGATCTTGTTGGACGGCGTTTCCGGTCGGTCCATCTTTCAGGTTTCATTGCGATCTCATCCGGCGGTTTGCATGGTACTTCTGTCACTGATTTCGGAGTGAGCCAAAACGTGTCAACAGTATTACAAATAACAGCTCTTCACTCGTGCTGTGACCTCGTCTTGACGTAGACGAAGTTGATTTTTGTGCCGTATCCACTTGTGCAGCCCAACTGCCACTTCATACATTACGCAGCCAGAGTGACCCACGACCATTGCTGGGGCTCACATGGAATGGCTTTTTCTATAATCAAGGGCGTAGACCAAGTCACCAATTGCGAATATTGTCCCTGCTCTGTGTACTGACGTTGGTGACTGTTTTCCGGACGATTGCATTGCGACGAAAATAGTGTGTGGTTTCCGGATCTTAAGGCATTCAGCAAGAAAAAATCCATTTGATTATGCCGGGTTTTGCGTTTTTCTGTAAGCTGTAAGATAATTTTGGATGTTTTCGTCCCTAGTTCCCTTTCCTGGGTTTTTTTAGAGGGGCCGTTTGTACGAGTCCACAAACCGTTCGGCCTGCTTGTTTGGCTGAGAATGGTACGACACGGTGCGAACTTGATTAACAATCTCCCGGCGGCAGAAATCCTGGAAAGATGCCGAGGTAAACTGTGTCCCGTTATCTGAAAACCCGTGCAGGCTGAAAATTCTGCGAATGACAGAGATGGACGATGTTTTGCCTGTAACATTCTGATTGTCTCGGACCACACGATCTTGCGTCTACCGGGATTAGGTACCTTATTTGTGGCTTGACTAGGCTATCTCTACCATTAAGCATCAAGACAATGTCGTCAGCATAATCAATTCCAACAAGTTCTCCACCAGGCGGCACCTCAATACCCCATCGTGAGATTCCGCAATGGAACTCTCTGTGATGAAGTCCACTGCGAAGTCGAACAAAATAGGGCAATTGGACAACCTTGATGAACGTCTTTTGTTGTCGGAAAGTTATCCGACAAGTCACTATAGACCCAGGCGCGGGCTGTGGTGTTCGGGTACAGGGCATGTAAAATGTTCATGGAAACATGTTTCTAAGGCAGTCAAGAACTTCATTTGCTCGAGTTGTATTGGTTTAGGCACGCTTTATGTAAGCATACTGACTGCTTGTCCTGAACGCAGCTTTTCAGCCTTATCTCGTGGACCTAGTAGTGGGAAACGCAGTTTCTGATTTGCAAATGGCTGCGTTTATTCCGTCTCGTCTTCTAGGTCGAGGTCTACGCGGCCCATATGATTGATGCGGGATTTTACAGGATGTGACATACGACCGATACTAGTTGTTCTTCTTCTGTCGTCTGGTGGCCGGGTTGTCTGTTTAGCGTGTTTATGCTATCAAAATATCCGGTTAATTTTGTTACGGGACCATGAAAGCCATAAATTAGCCGTCTCGCTGATGTTATCCTCGCACATTGGCTATCTTCCTCGGACAGTATCATATAAGTGTAAGATCACTGGATGTTCACATGATGGATTACTTCTGTATCAGATCCTTCTTTCCATTGGTCTTCATTCAAGACATCTCACTTCGTCTGCGATTGCGGCTGTCAACCTTTTGTTTATCCTTCGACCGTTAATATGCTCCCCCGATTCACCTTTCCAACTGTTCATTCGGCTTTGACTTTGCCTTTTGATCGATGACTTGCAGCTACCGATCTATGCCTATTAGCAGGCTGTGTTGATATCTCGTCTTCGTTCACTGCGAGTTGTAGTTCCATGTTTTAACTCCTGTTTGGCAGTTTGACCTAATGGATGACGAAGGCGCCTTTACTCAAACGATTTAACTGACTCACTCGTGACTTCGTTTTGTAATGTTGAATGGGCACCACAATGCTGAGACACATTAATCAATGGTGTAACGCACATATATTCGCATTTTTTTGTCCCTGCAAATGTAGCTCACTGTGATAGACACTTTACTTATTTCCAGTATGTGGTCACTAAACCTTTTATTTTCCAGGCATCCAGTTGGTGTTCCGCTCGTCGTTGGATGACGTTGGCTAGTGAACTCGACCTACCTCTTCGTTTACTTGTTTGCCGCTCTCTTTTTCCAGTTCTATCAAATAATGTCCACCAGGATTCAGTGGAATTTCGTCGTCAAGCTGTTGAATCTGAGTTTGAATTAATTGAGCTGGAGCCCGAGGAGGATTCCTTAGAAGAAGGTTAGTTTCGGTCTCTTCAGTCGTCTGCCGTACCTTATTTTTCTTCTCTCAGCAGTTGCCTTGTTTTTGTTGGCCACTCTCACCTGTGTAAATCGAGTTGTCTATGTTGTCGTTTTTTGGCCTTGAACGCAGGCTGCTTCCTGGACTCGCTCCCATCTGCAACGAACTCACGTAGCGATGAAGGCGTGAGTTCCAAAAACGTCAGCCCAGCATAACTTTAGGTCTGTGCAGCCGTTTCAAACCGAGGTATCGTTCAGTAAAAGGCGAATTTACTTGTAAACGGGCTCTCCATGTGTTTATTGTTCGGACACCACGTCTTCTGCCTTTTTGTCACCATCAACCCTGTCTACCTCTATCGGAACGAGATTCGATCTTAACATAGTGCAAACATTTCTACATCTCGATTCATTGAGCTTCGCTTTGTGTGACCTTCCACCTTGCTTACAGAAGCACTCATGTCATATAACTCAATGGTTAGAAACCAGACGGATTCAGTCTCAGAATCCTCAATGAAGATAGTTGAGAGTGCACTAACTGTTTTCCACAAACAGTCATAAGAGCCAACGGTTTACCGATTATAAGCTCAGTTCAGTTGGCGTTGAACACGCACAATACATGTTTCCCTGACGCTTGGATAACGCCATCCTTCCTCAAGCATTTACTTCCACCACCTCATGCAACGCAGTGCCAAACCAGCAAGGTGCAAACCCACCAACCCCCGATTGCAGTTGACCGTGGCCACAGATGTATAATATGGTACAGTCACAAAGATAAGCAACTGCTTCTGTTTCTGAACTTTCTATAACCGTTCGATCTATCTCCAGTAGATCCGACAACACTCTTCCGTAACACACCCACTGCTTATGGCTTTGATGATACCGAATGGGGGAGGGGGGCAAACGTTTGTTGTAGTTGTACATCGAGCTTCGATTGTAGTTTAGTATCCCTGCTTTTCCTAGACACTGCAGGTGTCGACGAACCACTTAAAGGACTCCAGAAGCTAGCCATCTATTTTTCCGGATTGACGCCACCGCTAAACAATTCGTTCCTATGGTTCTACCTTCCAATGCCTCACATTATAAAACGGTTGCGGCGATTCCGACTATGTTATCTTTCGCATCCGACTCATTTGCTCTTCATCGAGAAGCGCAGCAAACGCTTTCATCGATCAGCAATCGATAATCTGTCCAGTCGCATTATTATGCAAGTCTGCCAGCGTGTTGCATGTACTGGGCCTTTGCTCTAATGCGTTAACTAGCCCCTATCCTTCGCATCTCTAATGACCACGGCTATGACGCTCAGTGTTAGCCACCGTCTCTTCATGTTGGGGAGACCGCGTAGTGACTAGTCGATGATGTGGCATGAAATCCGGTAGAAAATGTCGACAACGCTGACCCTCTGTCCTTATGCTCTACTCTGTACCTCTCCCCCTCATTGTTACTTATTGTTCTCCCGCCGATGCGAGTTTTAACAACTGAATGCACCGTACTTCAGCACCCCAAAGTTGTTTGACATTGTCCTTTAATTGGACAGAGCTGACCTCGATCGCTTCCCATTCGCATTGTTTTCCAATCCATTCTATCGCAGGGGAGGAATTTGGTGTTCGTCGCTTGAAGTCGGCTATAGAATCACATACATGGTCCAACATGAAACTACTCGGTAAGCTAGTACTTGTTCATCGATTACCTCATGTTTGCAATATCTAACTCTGGACGTGATGGTGTCATTCACGATTATTATCCTTAGTGTTTTTGGTGACAACTGTTAAGTAATTTTCCTTTTTTGATCGGCAAAAAGGGAATCTAACGTCTTTAATTTTCATATTTACACTGTCATACTCGTAGTGCATTCGGGTTTGACGCATCTCCCTCAGGGACCACCAGTTATGCGCCTGTTTTGTCCCCTTGGGGTCTACCGTCTTTATTAACTATTCACCGTTTTACGTCATTCTGGTGAAGTTAAAATCTCAGCGCCATCCCGTTCATGTGCAGCAATCGCTTTGCACATCTCACTGTCCGGATTCAGTTTTGCAACTAACCGCCTTCTTGCGATATACACACGGCTCATTGTTGTTTTCGTAATTTATCAGTTAAATCGCGTGCTATCCCACCGAAAGGTAACTCCGGCAGGCGCCGTCCATTTTCGATACGACCTACGAGCTCTATAAGACGTGGATTGACAGTTGACGCTATGTGTGACAGAAACTGACCACTAGCCCCTAAAAAGGACGTGGTGTATCACTGGATTTCGTGCGCCATCAATTTGTACTATATGTACTCGGCCTGATTCCGAGTTCCACCGCTTCTTATTCCATTGGATCTGTTGAGCCATAACCGACTAGTCAACCGTGGGTTGTTGCGTGTCTGTATTACATTATCACTTGGCTTCTGGATTGAAATGCTCATTAGGTACCTGCGTGTCCGATTTCCGGCCACTGTGCTCTGTTTCTACTTGCTGGAGGTGTGTTAGTGCCACAGCTTTAAAACCCTGGTCACGACTATGTAGAGTGACTCCATCATGCAAAGATTTTTGTCCCGATCACCATTGTGTTCGCTTCTTGAATGACCTTCTCCGGTGTTGCGCGTCATGGAATTACCAGTAGGCTACGCCCCTGCACCGCTGACATGCCCACAAATTCTGCTCACAACTTCATCATGTAATCGATGCATCTATAGTTTCTTGCTTTGTCCTGATCACATGTCGCTGTCATTCGGATTGGGCAAGAAAAGATACGAGAATTATTATAATACTCTTCGAATCAAAGGGTTACTGTTTAACTGTAGGAGAATTTATAATTAAGCGCCATTAAGTCCTCCATTACACTGTATCGACCAGAGCCTATGAAACTAAGCTTTCCCACCTTAACCCCCTATCTTAGAAGATGGCGAATGTTAACTCGACCAGATCTCAATCAATTGCTTTCTACCTTTTACTACTATATCATCTGTTGAACACCTTGTGGTTTCAACTGGCGACGCACAACATTAACAGGAACTGCACGTCAAGCAAGGCGGTTCACCAGGCATGTGACAGCAGGCGACACAAATTCGTCAGATAGCCTAATTCTCCTCCAGAGTCTATTCCCTTACGATTACTACTCGTCCTCCAGTTTCCCAGCCCTCCGGTTTTCCCACCGGATTACTCCGACAGTGTTCACACGATCGGTCTTCACTGCGACACTGGTTATTTACCTGTTCATTATTGTACCACTGGCCACGTTACGGCGTTGTTATACTAGCACTTAACCTCATGATCCACTCCGCTACATAGGAATGGATGTCCACAATGTTTCACTTTCCTTTAGGAGACAGATCTGTTAACGTGAATCGGCGATTATTTGATCACACACTCCGTCTGCGATTTAATCACTTGTGTCAACAGGCTTAGCCTATTCAGGTCATTCGATGTTATAATACGTTCAGTCACGCACGGTAGCTCAATATATATCTGTCTTTCGGATGTTTCGGATGATACATCTTCGACTATGGTCAAACGTACGTTGAGTAGAATCAAATTCGTGGTCTTTCAAAAAGATCTCTTTAACTTGAATCCAGGTCAACAAGTTCGGGCCTCACGTAAGCAGATTGACTACTACGAGAAGACTGGGAATGGTATGGAATAACCTTAAGTATGCATGCACCAGAGCATCTCACCTTACTGGCAACACTACCTTTTGGAGCTATAACTCTGAGGAACTCTGGATGCAATCCGTTAAGAACCCACATGCAGCGGACAGCTGGTTCAGTTCAAGGGATTTCAGCGCTATCGCAGGTCTCTAATTAATGTCGACAACAATTGCGTGTAGAACAGATTCCGTGCCATCCTCTTCACCGAAAGATAATAGGACTTTCCGGAGTGGCAAATTCTTTCCAGCAAGAGGCACTAAATCAAACAACTTCGGATTTTGTTCACTAGTCCGGCCAAACTTAGCTTCTAAGCCGTAAACACTTGTCTTGAATGCCGGAAGTTTGATAGGGGGTGACCAGTAGGGTCACCCTCAAACTCCCGTGCGTGGAACGGTGAAAACAAACTCATCTGACTTCCAACTGAAACCATTATCTATTGTACTATCTATTGGATGGCATACATGAGTGGATCGAAAGTATTAGAACCGAAGCTGTTGCATTTTCTCTTAATAGTTTCATGTTTTTCGTGATCAAGAAAGTATTTCAGTCTACGGCCAGACGAATCTCCTGTGTTGGGGTGTTCGAAAGGTTTTGAGGCTGATATTGTATGCAAACAGGAATCAGAATTTCAACCTTTTTATTTCTCTTTATCATCACCGCTAACTTGAATACACTTTTCATATCGATGACGCCGTTGCTCAACATCACTCAAATAGTGTCTTTCTTGCTCTGTCAACCAGCTTTCTACGGCATCTTCAGTGGTATGCAGCATCATAAAGAGCACTTCACATTTGAACACAGATAAAAGTCACTCTGGGCAGGATCAGGAGAATGGGCTGGATGAGAGAGTTCCCTGAAGCCTCAATCACGGATAGCAGCTTTTGTTTTCAAGGCTTTATGAGCTGGTGCATTGTCGTGCATAATCAGAACGCTAGCTATCAACACTCATCTACTTTTTTCTCTAATACAATCAGTCGCCGCATCAAATCAGCTTAATAGGCACCATTGATTATCATCTTATGCAGCGTATAGTCAGTTGAAAAAATACCATTAACATCATATTGACCGGTCCCAAGTGCAATGAAATATTTTCGATGCCATTCCAGATTTCATTGGAAGTTTCTTCAGTGTGGGTATATAAGGAGACATCTTGGAACAACACTTTTACATTGCCCTATTATGCTACCTTTGCAATATCTGCAGTCTTGGCATACGATCAACGCGCTTTTTGCGAATGGCTGTTTGTGCGAATTCATACAAGGGCGCAACGCAGTCGAGTCTTGTCGTAAACTGCGTGACGCACTACGTACGGACGCTTCAACTTACCTTATGTTGGCATTTTGGTTCCCTTCGAAACAAAGTAGGGAATTACGAATTGTCAATCATCGGAGGTGAAGGTGACAATCAAGCGGACATTGTCAACAACATCCAGGACACCCTAACGGAGGATCCGAGACCAAGTGCGCGTAAAGTTTAGTCACACTTTGCCGTTTTAACAACCACCATTCATCGCCAGCTGCGTTGTTCCGGAATGGTTCCATAGCTCAAACAAGTTGACCACACGAATTGACTGATGAGCAGCTTTTGTACCGTGGTGCCATTTTACTTTCGTTGCTCACTCGAGAACATAATTACCTATGGCTGAACGATGTCATTACTGCGAGATGGGTGCTCCATGTCCGTCATAGCAGGAAGCACCAGTGAATCACAGTAGATATAACGTCAGTAGGCGCTCCGAAAGGCAAACTGCACGATAAAACAGTGACGCTGTCGGTCCGATGGGATCATCGCGGCGTCATCTATTGGCAATTGCTACCTGACAATTTCACAGTGACTGTCGTTGTCTACTCCCAACAACTGCAAAAGATGGTCGACGAACACCGAAAATGCATCCAATAGCGGCTCGAATCCTTCTTTCGTATGACAACGTACATGGTAAGGATGACGCGTCTCAAGATTCAGCAGCTTGGTATCGAAGCTCTTATGCATCCAACATATAGCCCGGACCTAGCTCTTACTGATTATCACCTTTTTCGCTCTCTGCGAAATCAAATTAAGGGCAAGAGTTTGCATGACCGCAACCATATCGAAACATACTTTGCCCAATACTTTGACAACCAGCCTAGCTCCTTTTATGAAAGATGCACCGATAGCTTGTTTGCGCTCTGGCGGTACGTCGTTGGTAACGATAGAACTTACATTAATTACATATCGGTGCTTGTTTAAAAGGCATATTGTTAACAATTTCAATTGATTTTGGAACAACCCAACGGAAAATTGTGCACATGATCTTGCCTGTGCTAGATTCATATGTGAATTTCATGTGCAATGAAGAATCCTGATGCTTCCATTGCTTGGATTACCCTTTTCTTTCAGGACCGTAATTGTAGTTCCAAATCCCATCCCATGTCACTAATCGCCGCTTAAATTGGTCCCAGTCTTTGTGCATGAATCCAAGATTTTCTCCTCAACATCAGTCATGGTTCTCCTTCAGTTATAGAGTAAACATTCTCGGTACCCATCGCGCACACCCTTTTGGCACGTTCAAATGTTCATGCATACTTATTTCGACAGTTGATAAGCTAATCTCCATTACATGAGCTATTTCGTGCACAGTCGTTTGTTGGTCCTCCATTATCATCTTATCCTTAGTATCAACGATTGCTGCAAAGATCTTCCTGACTATCCCTCATCTTGGAGAAATGCTCTTCCTCAGCGACATTCAGCAGCCCAACCTTTAACTATTGTATACGAAGGGAATCGGTCTCGGTATTCATTCATCATGCCTTCAAGGATTTCTTGCGGCTAAATTTTCTCTAGGGTTAAAAATGCTATGACCTGTCTGTGCTTCGATCTGATTTTCTGCAGACATGGTAGGATGCCCCTGAAAGTAATGACATGAAAATTAAACGTGGGCAGCTTGAAACCACAAACTTGATAGACCAAACTAGGGCACTAGTCAGACTTTGGCAGGTGTCTTCATCATGTTTCATAGGCCCAAAACTTATCAAACACCCGTTTTATAACTTCATATAGACTACTCATGTATCATTCTTTTGAGACATCGGGTTTTAGTATTACAGGCTATCCTGCTTGAAAGGAGTTTGCTTTTAAAACTCCGGATAGCCTAACCCATAAGTCAGAGGAAAGGAAGTCCGCTGTGTTCCGACATTTGTTTGATCAATTGACAATAGGTACAACCTATACGTGGCAACATTTGGCTGCGTTGTTCGTTTACTCCTTCTCCCGGTGACCAACTGCGGCGACTCGAATCACTGATCCCCGTCTATCGTCGTTTTCACTGATTCTGTTGCTTTTCGCCCCACTATGTCCTAGTCGGGTCACACATACCGCTTTACGCATGGTGTTTGACTTTCTGGCACCACTTTAATCGTATCCCGTAATATGTGCATCACAGCTTCCATCTTTCCCCGTTTTCATCGACATGCTTCCGTCACCCCCTTTTAGTTTCGTTACTCATGTGCACTGAGTTACTCATTTTTGTAATAATTAATATTTCCCGGTCTTTTACGCGTGTATTTTTCTGTCATCCCTTAATCAGTTTCGTCATTGGTTCCGTGCTTTCAATGCAAAATATTGTTTGTCTTCACTTTTACACTTTGCATGGTGTACACTTAATGGCTCATCATGTTGCTCTCAACACTTTCTCAGAGTCTGCAAGTTGCCCCCTGCGTGCAGCCTATTCCACTGACGTGAGTCGAACCGCAACAGACTGTGTTCCCAAAACCCAAGACACACAACCCGTTCTCAAATCCCCTTTTTACAGTGGCGGAAAATTGACCGACGAGGACACTGATTTGCAGCTGGATGAAACCGTCGAATCCTTCGAACGGATGTTCACAAGACTACAGCATGCGCGCGATAAATTACCACATTTGTCACGACCAGACCGTCAGAGACTAGCAGAACAGGTTAGTTTTTGCCCCCTTTACGCGTAAATATCTTTGCAGCCCGCATTTGTTGCTACCTTTATTGCCTTCAGAGGGGATTGAATTTTTAGTGACCTATTTGGATTCATTTCATCAGTTATACTTCACTCATCAAAGTGCAGTGGACGCAGCTGCTTTAGCCCACATTAATAAACTACTGATATTGGTAATAATTATGGCGAGTGATAGTTCAAAGGAAGTGGACAGTGTTATCATTTGAGGGGGTGGTTAAGTCGGTGCTAAGGAAGGCAGTGCATAAATCGCACTGATCATGTCGTCTAGTCTGACGATGAAACGTTTGCAGCCAAATCAGCCAGCTCGGAGAACACCCGCATACCCTCATCCGCATCCCGAGCTACAAATATTCTCACGGATTTCTAAGGAGAGACTACATTATTTCCAATAGAATATCTAAACACTCATGTATCTGGTACCCAGATCCCTATCTGGAAATATGACAGGAACCAACCTTATCCATCATTTTATTGAGCTCCCTGTCATTGTTTACCTCTTAATTTCACCCAGCTAGATGCTGCTCTGTTTCCCTAGCGGAGTGGTTTGTTTACAAGCATTTCGTCACTGGACAAGGCTTGTTCATCCGCAACACTTGGTCATAATTACCAACATCAAAAGTAGTATATCAGACACTTAAACGGATGCTTCACTACCTTACAACCGCAATGATCTAAGGAATGAAGAATAATAAGTGGGAGAGAAGGGGACCTAGCGCAAAACCCAAATATCTTAAGCAAACATTCAGCACCAAGGCACCTACACCTTGTCAACAAACTACCGTCACAAACAACTAAATATCGTGCAAAGGTAAGGCCGCATTGACCAGACAGTTTCCTTGCGGTTTTCACTGCCCCGCGTCATAATCAACCATTACCCAGTAGATAACTCAGCATCAGACTAGGAGGCGACAGCAGACGCTCCACTGGTGCCGACTGCTAGCCATATCCTGTAACGTGTCGAGCCAAGCACAAAGTAGGTCACGTAGACTCCAGCCTGAAAGTCGAGACGGACCGATGGCACCGAGTTTGGTCGTCAGTGACTTCATTTCTTTCCACTATGTTCAATGGTCGATTTACGACTCTCTGCTCACGTTTCTCGCTCTTTGAACTCTCTCTTTGACCGAGGTGCTGGCGACCAGGCATGCTAAACCTCACTCTAGCGCACCACTAACCGCGTTCTTCATTACGCGTTTATTCCGACATGTTCTTGGCAATCCCCTCAACTTTCGAGACTCCCAAAGTGTATTGCCACTAAAATCGGTACCTTTTGCCTCATCAATGAATCGCTCATATCCGATCTCACACGTACCAATACCCACAGGAAGGCTTTTAATGCACCGCGCTCGTCCTTTAAGCTAGCTACGTTCAAGGTTCGAACGCTCATGCACGTTGGTTCACAAGCTGCTCTTGCGTGCGCCTTGGAAACCCTCTCAATCGACGTTTGCTGCCTAACCGAAATCTGTTTTCAACGGTGCGACTGCCCTCACCATTCCCAAGTTCCAAATGAAAATTCACCTTGCACTTATCTGGAACTGTGACAGCGGCAGCCTCTGATTGCGCTGGCGTAGGAGTTGCGTTATGCGCGTGTGCTGAGGCACCGCTCATTGACTGGTTCCCGGTCACCAGCCGTCTTTGTGCGGTTCGCTTGGAAAGCTCAGTGCAATCTTCCAGCTACGGAACCAGTAGGTGCTGTTTATTCTTTGTGACAGCCTACGCTCCTACGGACTGCAGCCCGGATGAAGCCAAAGACGACTTCCACCCCCAACTCACCGACCCCCACAAGAAACGCCGCACGGACATCGTGGTACTCGCCGAAGGCCTAAATGCGCAGCTCGGTAGACTAGAGGTTCATGAGCGTTTACTTGGGGGTCAACACAGCCACAGTACTCGCAGGACGGACAACAGAGATCGACTCCTTCAACTGTGCGCCGACCATGGTTTGTTCCTTACGTTCCTGGTGCCAACGACCCACATGGCGACCTCCGGCGCCTGGTCAAGCTTGGACGCAAATTGACCACAACTCTGTTAGTTACCGTTGGTGAGGCTACGTAACGGACTGTAAGTCAATTTGGAACACTTATTTGACTTCGGAGCATGCGCGCATGTGTGCTAAGTTCGTTCTGCGCCGGAAACGGCTTGACACAGAAAAGCTCGCCGCACCAAATGTTCTCGATGCATTTTTGAACACATTAGCCTCCAACCTGCGTTCTCTATCCTCCGATGTTGAGACACACTGGGCACAGATCCAGGACGTCTTACGAAAGTCCGCTACCTTGGTCTGTGGCTTCACTAGACGAGCTGCTAGTCATTGGATCTCCGCACAGTCTCTCGAATTAATGTAAAGTCGTCGAATAATTTCCGCTGGAGTTGAGTACCACACTACGCAGAACCACATGTGCGAAGCTCAGACAGCTCCTCAGGAAGGATCGTGAGGTTTGGTGAACACAACGCGTCATTGAGATGGAGCGGGTAGCCTCATCAGGAAACTTGCGCGAACTCTTCCAACTTATTCGTTCCAAGGGAGGCAAAAGGCCAATAGTGAGGTATTGCGTGAAAATGACGGTGAACTAATTCACATTCATCACCATCGTCTGGTACGATGGGCAAAGTACTTTGAAGATCGGTTCAACTGGCCACCAGCGCAACCGAGACCATCTTCCGGGGTTCACAGTGCTCCCTGGTGCGTGGATGTTTCTACACCGACTGAAGTTGAGATTTCCTATGACCTTCGCCTACTAAAGCACCACAAGTCACCTGGCCCAGATGAACTTCCTCCTGCCCTCTTCAAATATGACGTCCTACTCTCGTGAACTGACATATCTCTTCAATCAGATTTGGACTACTGACACTGGAAGCATTCCTAGCAGGAGCCGTGGCAAGTGAACTTTTATGGTTCCTAAGATGGTCCACCAAATTGCGCCACAGGCCACTCCTAGATCTAAACGTCTTCGGGCACAGCGAACAAGTAGGATGCTGGGAGGTTCCAGAGATTGTCGCCGGATCGGAGGCGGGGGATGTGGATGTTGCTAAGCGGCTTCAGCAGGAGAAACTGTTTGTGGTGATGATGGCGGCCACCGAAGGAGGCGGTCAAATGGTGCCTAAGGTTGTCGTGACGCCGAATGTAGGGTTACGGGTGATAAAGGTGAATGTGTGAGTGAGTGTGCAAGGGACGGGTGGACGCGGTTCTTGGAGCTGGGTATGGAGTCGACAGAGGCCGATCCGTTTGATTTGTTGACAGAGCAACCAGCGAATCCACTGCTCTGACTGTGCAGGGCAGGGGACGAAAGGTTACGAGTGGGAGCCTGCACCACGGCCATTCATAGGCCCCTATCCGTGTCTGGGATGAGGGGAGGTGGGTGTGTGCAAAATGGCATTCGTCTCGTTGGTGAGGTTAAAAGCTAGGGCGTTGATGATAAAAGCGTCGTTGGGCCATCCGGGACCACAGCGGAGGTGCGAGACAGCATGCCGATGGCAGCTAAACGATTTCCGATTAAAAGGTGCCTCCAATTCTTCGACAGCCGCCCCTTCTAAGTGGGTAGCATGATGTTTTCGGGCCCCGGCTGCCATCTTAAGAAAGTTCCCTACCGATCTCACATGTGTAAGGGAAAACAAAGACTGTCGATGGAAGGTTCTTTAGCTTACAGTTTGTCGTATATGCGGTATCAGGTGTTGGACGATTCAGGGGTGGAAAGGCTGGGATCGGCGAAATTTTGGTGAGCAGCGCGGATGGATGGAGATCGGAGACGGATAAAGGTGCCCCTTGGGCAGTAAGCGACGCGGTCAAGAAGTCCGGCGTGGCATTAGAGGGGCAATGGGAGCACGTTGGACGTCGCCATTTTATATATTGTAGTCGTCTTTTAATGGTCCGAACGGGATGCTGAGTTTGCAATCTGGGAAGGAGTTGCTTCAGGGATGTAGCTGTCGAACACAAGTCCGTTGCACGTTGTAAAACTTGTCGATCTTCATCTTCTGTCCAATGAGTGAAGCTACTTGCAGCCCGAGATACCTTCATGGCATCGGAGTCGGTAGGGTGCATCCGACAATAGTGAGTTATTAACATCCGAGCTGATGGGAAGCGAAGAGCACACTTTTGACATGTTAATTCCTCATCCCGGAGACTTTTGTCATTGCGATGTCCAAGATGATGTCCCCCATGACGAGAAAGACCAGCTGCAGTGAGAAACTTTCTATGGCAAATGTTACAGGTTAGCCATTGCTTGCTTCCTTTATCCCTGTGCACAGGAGCATCCTTCAGCTCAGGAGGCACGTCCTCTTCAATCCACACGCGTTGCACCAATTGCTGCAGCGCAGTCACCAACGCTGGCCCGCCGTGTTTCAATACATCAAGTGGGATCTCGTCGGCACCGACACACTTGCCATTTCGCAGGTGCACAAGTGCTCTCTGCGTCTCATCCTGGGAGAATATATATATATATATATATATATATATATATATATATATATATATATATATATATATATATATATGGTTGGCGGCATCCGGTTTCCGATTTGCCTGTCACTGTGGCCAGCCACAGGACGCCTGCGCTTACAGAGGGACCATGGGTGGCTTGCGCTGCACCACCCACAGCTCCAACCACACACTCCATATCCAGTGTAAACCTGAACGAATAAGACCGGGAGGCATGTGGATGGGAGCCACGTTTCATCAACGGAGCTGGCCCACACTCCTTCACAGGCAAACACAAGCACACTGTATTTGGGGAATCAAGCGCACACAAGGCGGTGGCTGGACCGTAGTCCGCTCCACACTGAGTGCATGGAACCACTCTTCGAGCCTAGCACGGCCACAAGGACCGTGCACCCCGTCCCCCCCCCCACCAGGAACGACCAACTGTCTCCTGGAGCCAGTATGGACGAGGTAGAGGGTAATAGACAAGTAGGCACCTTGTCAACATGCACATCAAGCGCAGCCACATCGGGGATATCAAGCAACAGCCAATCATT